TGCGTCTGCTGGCGGCGGCAGCGGTGGTGCCGACAACCTCCCATGATGCAGTATATACAGCAAATCATGAAAGACATACCTCACCTCCGCACTCTGCGTGGCCTCATCATCCTCCCTGATACTAACCCGCGGCAGCTGCGTCCATTCCGCCTCACCAGGGCTAATATCTTCCAGCGAAAGCTTGGCAAACGCCGCCTCAACAGCCTTGGCCTCGGCAAAACGCGTGTCTGACAGAAGACGGGCAAAGTAGGGTGAATGCACCTTCAGGACAGACAGATGAACTCGGAAGCCAACTCTGACTCTGGGCTTGGGCGGTGGTCTTGGTGGTCTTGCTGGTGTCTTCGCAGGTCCCTGTCCGGGTCTGGTTGTCTTGCTGGCCCGAGGCGTTGGTCGAGACGAGAAGGTGGCGAAGGCTTTCTTGGCGGCGAGGATGACGGGCTTGGAGGTCTCGAAGGTTACGTCGAGGATGATGTCGCCGTTGGGGACGATTTCGATGATTTCGAGATCTGGGGTGTTGGTGCTGCTGCCGCCGTTGGGGGGTGGTGGTTTGGTGGGTGTTGACATGCTGCCTGCCCCTGGGTAACGATGAGAGGGATTTGTGATGCCAAGCGAGGTTGCTCTCATCCAGTTGAATGACACGATGTTTCCTCAATCCCCCAGATACTTTTAAATGAAACAGATGCCCCTTCTAATGGCAGAGGTTGAGTTGACGAGACACTTGAAGCAGTTGTTATCGGTGTCTGATATTCGAAGATTACGTGATCAGCCAGAGTTGTTCCCGTCACCAAACTTCACGCTAACACGCATGAATGTATGATGACATTTTGAGATATAATTCATCGACCGTGACGCTTCATCTTTTGTTACTCACTTGTGATTCACCCAACAGACGAAACGCCACGAGCCCCAAGCCTTTTCAGCCCTATTTATTCGTAACCGGAGAAACAGAAATATCGCTGGAGTTGTCAAGTCTAGATTTTGGATTACCCGTGGGTGTGAAGCGGCAAACGGTTGGTTAGTAATGCAAGAGGCGAAATTGTTAGTGCGGTCACTCACTGCCAGTGATTTAACAGAACTGACAGATGCGCTGTCAGTGGTGATGATCAGCACCGGGAATGCACTACCTACCTAGAGATGACGTTCCTCGTAACTCTCCACAATTTGACCAAACTGGTACGTGTAATTACCAGTTTGTATTGCAATATTTTGTAGGCCTTCAAACCTCATCTCAGAGACCGGGTCTTCCGAGATCGGATCTGGAACCATGTTTCGTTCACAAGAAAGGAGAACCCCTTTTTCAGATGCTTCTCGTTTTTGTTTGCCTTGTTTTCTCAGATCCTGCAGACTCAAATTAATTTAATTAGGTAAGGTGTTTGTTTGCTTGTTGTCTGTCCACAGCTGGAGTGAAACGTGGTAAGGTTGGCGTAGTGGTAGTGGCTAGCAAGTGAAAAATCCGGTAAAAATTAGGTAAAATAGAGGGCGGCCGAGACCGCTACTGGATGACCCAGGACAACCCAAGACAAGCCCACCCCGACCAAGACCACCATCGTGCACTTTGTCGTCCATCAATGTCCATGTCGTCGTGCCAAGAAATCGACGTCAACCTTTTGGGCCAGTTTCCTCTTTTTTTTTTCTGGCATCTCCCCATCTCCCCTTTCCCACATTCCTAGTTTGCAAAGCACACCTTTTGCCATGCTCACCAGAGCAGATGCAAATTTTCATAACTCACTTCTCTCCGTCTTTCCCTACAACGTGTCTTGACACCTCGCCGCCGTCACCTTACCTACTACAGATAGGCAATGGCCGCTGTGCGCCGTCGTCCCCCTACCCAGTCTCTTGTCTCTGCTCTCCAACACCTCGAGCCTGCTTCTTTCCACGCCAAAGCTCCCAGAGCTGCCCAAGACACCGAACTGCTGGATGCCTTTATGGCCTATCTCTCTACCTTCTTCCACCATCCTCCCACAGCTACGATGAGACGAGTAACGATGCTCGGCCCGCGGGTCCTGCCCACAGCTGTCGGTAGACGCTACCTCCATGCATATGCGAGAACCTCCTCCAGCTCGACAACAAGCACCGACGAGCTTTGCGACCGCTTCCGAACCCATGCCCTCACCGATCGAACCTCGAAGCGCAAGTTCCACAACTACTTCGTTACCCATTTGCCGTCGTCCTCCTTACATCCCGATTCCCGCTTACAACATCCCCACCACAAGCTCCCGCGATCGGCATCGGTACCACACAAGCAGGATCCCGGAGCTGCTCCTGCTGCCGTGCCTCCCAACATACCCGGCCGCGACCTCACCGTCGTCCGAATTCCCCTACGAAGCGCAAAACACCATTTTGGCGCGTCCGTCTCTCGCGGTCAACGTAACTACAATGAAGATACAAACCAGGCTGGTACAATCAGCATGCCGTCCTTCGCCAAGCGAGCCCCCACGAGCCTCGTTCGCAGTCAGGCGCGGTCTCTTGATGAGAACACCACGGCGAATAGCTCGTTTGGAGACCCCCAGATCTTCTACTTTGCCGTCTTTGACGGCCACGGCGGCTCCGAGTGTAGCGAGTTCCTAAGGGACGAGCTACATGGCTATATCGAACAGGCAGCACTGGACTTTGGTCTGCAGAGTAGCTTGCAAAGACAAGGCACGAGCCTGGACAGCTTGAGTAACCCATCAACGGAAACGTTAGGAAATGCGCCCAGGAGCAGCAAAGATGCACTTAATCGAATCGACATGAAGAGCCCCGAAGAAGTCCAGGACCAGCTCAACGTACCGGAAACAAAGGGCAATGCCGTCGTCGAAGAAGCTTCCCACGAGCCACCCCCTGACGGAGACGAGCCCATACCAGCAGTAGCAGACGAAGCCAAAGCCGAAGAGCTTGAAGTAGACCTCTTGGACGAATACCGCAACACAGTAGGAGGCTACTTCCGCCGCTTCAACTCTCGCTACTTTTCCGAACGAGCAGCCGCCCGGGCCCGCTACTCTGGCTCCAACGCCGCCTCCTCCATGGACGACAACACCCTCAAGAACAAGCTCCAGAAGCAAATCGACGAAACCCCCGTCACCACACCCGTAACCGTCGAGTCCGTCCTCACCTACGCCTTCCTCCGCGCCGACCTCGACTTCATCACCGCCCAAGCGCGGAAGCCCGACCCCGACGACCCTCATGTCGCCGACTACCCAGTCAACAAGGACGAAGTCCTCGGCCATCCGCACCTCCCGCCCTCCGGGCACGGCATCGGCGGCCCCGTGCGCTTTAAGGGCGGCTCCACGGCCTCGATCGCCCTGATAGCCACTCCCACTCCGGCACCCTTCTGGCACCCGGCGGCACACAGCACCTTGCTCGTCGCTCATGTAGGCGACACCCGTGTATTACTCTGCGAAACCGCCACCGGCCTCCCTCGCCCCTTGACACACGACCACCACCCCTCCAGCCCCGCCGAGACCCGCCGACTGATGCGCTACGCCGAGTCTCTAATCACCGACTCCTTCGGCGAGGAACGCATCGGCGGCCTTGCCAACAGCCGGTCCTTCGGCGATATGCAATCCAAACGCATTGGCGTGTCTGCAGAGCCGGAGATCATACGGGTCAACATGGGACCGGCCGAGTACTCTTTCCTGGTGCTGATGAGCGATGGCGTGAGCGGTACCCTCAGTGATCAGGAGGTCGTGGATGTGATCAAGGAGGCCAAGACCCCCGAAGAGGGCGCCAGGCATGTCGTCGAGTATGCGACGGAGGTGTCGGCCGATGGAGATAATGCTACTTGTCTGGTGGTGAGGCTGGGAGGGTGGGAGAGGAGAATGGAAGGGGGGTTGGGTAGTCTCGGGACAAAGGAGATTAGGGATGCGAGGAGGGCGGAGGCGTTGGATCCCAGAAGGGGGAGGCGGTGATTATGTGGGGGTGTGTCTGGGAATGCTTTGCTTTCAATCTGATATGGTTCGGCGATAGAACGCACTTAGACAGCGTTTCTTTTTCTTTTTTTTTGTGACTTACGTACAGGTACATAATGATGGTGTTTGATTGTTTGGGGTGCATAGCATGGTGGGTTGGGATGGGATGGGATCTGGGGAGGTATCGAATATCACCATGATGCTTTCGGATCAATGTGATCGTTAACGGTAAAAGCGCAGCGTTCCGGGGAGTGTGGAAGAACCTGATCGCGTTGCGTGAGACAAACAGATTATCTGGAGTGAGACTTACAACACATCTATTTAATATGCAATATAGTTAAGTGTCGGGATACCCATTCACTCATAATATTTGTTTTGAAGCATCTACATAGACCCTCAGAGATAAACGGCTATGTTATCATCTTCTCGTGAACGTCTTTTTTCGCGCGCAAGTATAATTGTGCCCTCCTGTCTCGGTTGTAGTCAAAGTAAGGTAGCATTTGCCCGCCGCGTAATAGCAGTGTGAGTGACCCCGAAGACCGATTCAACGACCAAGATAAGACCTTGAAGAATATCAGACATGTGTATAGTCTAGATAGACTAGTACGATACCAAGTAAGTTCTGTGATCGCAACGTCTATGATTTGCGGTATATAACTACTAAACCAAAACATTTCCATCAACCAAACAACAATCAACCAACGAACGGTTGTATAGTGTAGCGGTTATCACTCCGGATTCTGAGTCTCCAAAATCATCAGAAAGTATTTCCGGCAACCCCGGTTCGATTCCGGGTACGACCTCTCCTTTTTGTCCTTTTTTTCCGTATATGGTCTGCCTTCTCTTGCTGTCTCCCGTTTGCTGATTCTAGTTTGTCTTTTTTTGCCTGCCGTCTTCTTTCTGTCTGTCCTTCTTTTTTGCACTCTCTTCTTCTACTTTTCCGTTTTTCTTCTTCCCATTGCTCGGGCACATGCATTCACCTCCCCAATTCCCACATATCAGCCCCACCTACCTACTACCTCTAGAAAGTTCCGAATTGCCTCACCTGAGTAGGTACATAACGGTGCATCCCACCGAGCACATGCACATCAACAAGAACCAACACAAACTCAAGGTTCTATAGTGTAGCGGTTATCACTCCGGATTCTGATTTCTTGACGATTAGAACATTCCGGCAACCCCGGTTCGATTCCGGGTAGGACCTCTTCTTTTGATTTTTTTAACATCTTTTCTCACTTACATCCTTCACCTCCCTTTACTTTCTTTCTGTTGTTTTTGCTCTTTGCCTTTTCGTTTTATGCTTGTTTTCCCGTCGACATCGCTAGCATATAGCCACTCCCCCTTTCGTATGGTATTCCGGGCTATGGATTTTGCTTGTACGAACAGGACCTTCATCTCCGTTAACCACTCGCTCATACCAGTTTGATCCGACGAGGTTCCATACCGTCAAACAAGGAAAACGGCATCCAAACGAAGGTTCCTAGCCGGCTATAAGTAAACAGACTCCCGTCAAAACCTTCCTCCCTCAGAAGAAGGCCCCCGATCGTGGGCTTCTCTTTCCATTCTTCCGCGACCCGCATAGCTAGACACCTAAGCCTACCAGTGCTCTGTTCTGCTTCGCCGGCAACATCAGTGTGATAACTAGCAACCTTAACACCGTCCCTTTTCAGATCCCTATAGACACGGTCTGGTTCGTCAAAGGGTTCAGCGATAAGTTCAACATCGACAAGACGAGCGCCGCTCAGTACGAGGTTGGCGCCCTTCAGCGGTCCGTAGGGATCATCGTACTTGTGCAGTACATTGATCTCTTCCACCTTTAACTCGTCGCACATCCGCTCCTCTCGACTTCTTTGGGTTGTGAACTTTTTCCTAAATTCATCAACAAGGCTTTCTGCATTGTGCATGAGACTTACAGGTGCGCCGACAGATGCCCACGACCAGCTCGGCGCGACGTACTCCGATGCTCGACATGGAGTGTAGTCAGAATCCTGGTGGCCCACATTCCAGAGCAGTGCTTCCGGTAGATGCGAGCTCCATAAGCCGGCAACGTATATCGTATTAGGAAAGTCGTCTTGAAAAAGCTGTGCCACTCCCGAGAGAGCAGCTAGCCTGTCGGTCTGTTTGGTCAACAACCGATTGGCGTAGTTGACTACCAGGTTACACCACCGATTATACTTCTCGCGGGACCTGGCCAAGGTAGCGGCCAACTCGCTTTGGGTTCTCTTTAGCTCCTGCCACTCTTCCCAGTGCTCTTCTTGAGAATCGACCTTAAGCATGTCGTTATCTCCTTGACACAACCATGGCATGTAGTTATCTCCTTGACAGAACCATGGCAGTTCCGCAGTTCCGCGGTGCTCACGACACTCCCACAGCAACTGTTGCTGGCCAAAGAAAATACTCCTCCTGGACAAGGCCCTTTCCTGGAGCGTCCATGCGCGGAGCGGAAGGGGCTGCTATCTGGATCTTGAAAGTTTCGCCCCTTGCCCATGTACGCTGACTGCCAGTGTTGTGGCGCATATGCCCAAATGCGAACCTGAAAAGACGACCCGGTATCACCACAACCATTCGCGGTGGGAATGGGGACCATCAAGTCGACAAAGGGCCCGCGACTCCCCTGGACGTCCTCAACCAGTTGCAAGCCCTCGCTGCTGTCATGAGCGCTCAGAGCTGCCAACGTACAATACGCCTGCGAATACACCTTGGCCATTAGACCCGCCTCTCTGGCCCAGTCCTCCTCGTCGTCCTGGACGATACAAAGCGAATCGATCCACAGATATCGCTGACCTAATTGCCGTGTGACATCCACCGCGTCTTGGAAGGTACGGGGAAGATCGACGAAGGGGATTCTTTCCATTCTCTTGGCCAAAGTCATCTTCGTTGTCATCATCGGACGCTTTTCCGGCGGTCCCCAGCAGTGGCTTAGCGTGACGTACGTTGGGGGCAGCAGTCCCTCGCAGGGGATGTCGCCTGCTAGCTCGGAAGAGACTAGTCTGATGTTGTCGCCGAGGTGTGGTGGTTTGCTACCGCTCTTGAAGTTGAACGCCCCGACGTCTAGCAGTCTGGTGGGCAAAAAGTGTCGAAAGGCGGGCTGGCAGTTGGGGTGGTTGTGGAGACAGTTGTCCAGCCAGTCTTTCATGAGCTTTAAGTTGAAGTGTTTGGTACATTCTTTGTAGCCCAGAAGGGGAGAAAACCGAGGTTCTGTTCGTGGAAAATAAAATCATATTAGCAAGACACGTGAAGCTTCAAATGAATTGGGAACATGCCTTCTGGTGGAATAAGTACTTATGCCATGTCCTCGGAGCAGCACTAATCTCCCCCACAAACAGCCGACTCATATTCTCACAGTAGAACTCGTACTTCTTCTTATAGATATCCCAATGCCGACGCATCACGAACGGGGTGCTCACCCAAGCAAAGTCTGATCGTTGACCTTCTATCGGTCTCCACCCTTCGTTCCGGTCCGCAGCCCAGAAGATGAGTTGACAGAGATGACATGATCCCGGGCCCTTTTCCGCTTCTGCTCGCATGTCCACAAACGATCGGAGAGTGATGGGAGGGTCGTGCCGGTAGTAGACGTCGTCCCACGGCTTGGAGCCGAGCCAGGCTGGGACGCGGGAACAGACATCGCAGAGTTTCGGCGCCATTGTCCAGAGAGGTTCAAGGTATTTTGAGAGAAGTAGGTAGGAGGTGATTGTATCGAATGTTGGGCATAGTTCTGCGAACTTAAAGAGCGAAGAGATGTATGAATGTCATTTTGGTGAGGAACCAATGGTAATAGTACTCTTAAGCGCCGGTGTTACACTACCTTCAAGCGCTTGGCTGCGTTCATCATCACCAAATCCAACCTTCGCGGTCGGCCAGCAAACTATGGTTGCATTTGGATGGCCTCATATTCGGCCAATGGTTTGGTAGGTACTATCCCGCAGCTGACAGACAGCTCTTGCCAGTTATACCTTGGAGCTCTAGCATCTTTTCCAGGTTGCTGCGTCGTACCTTCCCACCTCAACCCATCGATATTCCATTGACTTGCAATGGAAACAAAAGGAAAGCACACCACCAACTCATCAACGTGAACATGTCTTTTCGGCCTCTTCTCACGTAAAATCATTTGAGACACTACAGCCGTTGCTCCAGCCCACTCTTCAAAGAACCTGCCTTTGGGGACCTATGTAGTATATTTCTTGAGAATCACCGCCCAATTATCACCATCAGTCCCCAGCCGAGTCACCCTCATCCTCGTCTCTGTCCCACTCCCGTCTCAATAAGCCGGCTGCTCCTTCCACTAGGCTTGCTCTCGGCCGTCATATGCCCTTTCCAACTGAATGAAGCAATCGTGCCCACTCGTCTGGGCTAGAATCGCCCGTTCAGACCCCAGGCACAGCCCCAACAATTATGATTGATCCCAGAAGCAGAAGCAGCTTCCCATGGTACCTCTCTCCTTGTTCCCTTTGCACCCAGGTCGAGTGACTCTGTCGTCTAGTCTTCATCTTACCTCCAACCATTCGCTCATATCAGTTTGATCCGTCGCGGTTTAACACCATCAAAAAACGCTACCGCCATATTGTGGAACCTTCCCACCCGGCTGTAAACACAAAGATCCCCATCGACATCAAGCTTCTCCTCCCTGAGAAGAAGGCCCCCTATCGTTGGCCTCTCACTGTAATCCCTTTGCGCCACCATATCCAAGCACCACAGTCTACAACCGCTCTGTTCTGATTCCCCCTCAACATCAAGTCTATGATCAGCCACCCAACGACCGTCTATCCTCAAGCCGCCGTAATGACGATGAACCCCCAAAATGTACTCAGGATCTGGCTCGACCAAGGTTTCGGTAAACAGTTCCACCTCGACGAGACGGGCACCGCCTATAATCAGACTCGCGCCTTTCAGCGCCCCATACGGGTCGTCGTACCTGGGGAGTAAGTTGACCTCCTCCACTTTCCATTCTTCGCATATCACTTTGCGTGGATCTCTCTCCCTGTCTTTGTCTTTGGCATCGGCGGGATTGGCGGGATCTTTCTCAGCTTCGGCTAATATCTTCTTCCTCATCGACTGAAACCTCCAGACAGGATCCTTCGGCCTAAAACTCACACGCCCATTGACGGACGCCCACGACCAGCTGGGTGCGACATACCCCGCCGGTCTTCTCGCCCCCAGTTTGTCGTCAACCTCCCAGAACAGCTCTTCCTCCAGCCGAGAGCTCCATAGCCCAGCCACGTACCGCGCATGAGGGAAGTGGTTCCGCTGGTAAAACTGCGCCATCCCGGACAAGGCAGTCAGTTTGTCCGTGTCTTTGGTTAGCAACCGCTGGCTGTAATCGAACACCATTTCCCACCACTCATATTCACTTTTGTAGGCCGAGAGCAAAGAAGAAGCGGTAACGACAGAGGCAGCGACATTGACCGGGTTGCCGTCACGATCTTGAAGAAGGCTTAGGCTTTCAAGACTCTTCTTTATCCCCGCCCACTCCTCCCATTCCTGTTCCGGATCCAGCCCAGGATAGGCAGAGTGATGCCACGGCCGTTGCGCAGTCGCTTTCAGCTCCGCGCACTCCCACAGTACCTGATTCTTGGCGAAATGGATGATTCGCCGCGAGAGCTCGCGCTCCTGGAGCGTCCAGGCGCGCGAGCGGAGGGGCGAAATGTCGTCGCAGAGTCCGAGTTGGATTTTGCCGTTGTAGAGTGTGTCCCAGTAATCTAGGGAGTAGAACATTCGAAACCGGAAGAAGAAGGGGTCGTCCATGTCGCTTTTTCTAGTACCACTACCACCAGCGGGAGATGCATGTGAGGGGATCATGAGATCCATATAGGAACGGTGCTCATTTAGTGGTTCCAGATGCAAACCTTCACTGCTATCTTTGGAGCTCAGCGCGGAGAGCGTGCAGGATGAGTGTGAGTATACCTTGGCCATCAAACCGGCTTCGCGCGCCCAGTCTTGTTCGTCGTCTTGGACGATGCAGAGCGAGTCGATCCAGAGGTATCGGTGGCCTAGTTTGCGGGTTATTTCGATTGCGTCTTGAAAAGTTCTTGGCAGCTCAAAGAGCGGGATTCTCTCCATTCGCTGGGCAAGGTTGGCTTTGGTTGTCGTCGTTGGGCGTTTCTCTGGCGGACCCCAGCAGTGACTCAGTGTGAAGTAGGGCGGTGGGAACTTGTTCATATCTGATACTGGCCCCATTGTTGGACTCAAAGACACGAGCCTAACATC